AGAGAGAGAGAGAGAGAGAGAGAGAGAGCCACTTGCAGATACAAACTGTATACCCATATTAAAGATCAGCTTTCTCCAGCCACAGCCCACCTGCCCCCATTATCCCCAGTAAATTCTACCTAGGATTAATTCACTTGCTAGGTCAAGGCTATAAACCAATCATTTCTCTTTCAAAAATATTATTACATATGAGCTGTTGGGAGACACAGCATCTAAACCGTGATGGTCTTTTGGGGTATCTTGTTGGAAAATATAATCATATGTTAGTTGGATAATTACAATTGGCTAAGGTTATATTTGGTTTCTGTTTCATGTAATAACTCGCCACAAATGAAACACATTTAATTTCATGTGTGTGTGTGTGTGTGTGTGCAGCTATATAGGGTTAAGGATACATCCAACACTGTCTCTGTTTTTTATGCTCTACAATATTTTAAATCTACTCTCTGATTTAATTTTAAGTTTCTCTGGAATTTGTCTGTGTGTCACCAACTCAAAGGGTGACTTCGTGGCACAGCTCTGACTTCTCTAATTAGCCCTGACTTGGTGCACAAGGCAGGACAAAATTACTGTCAACCTAAGTCACAACAGAAAGTGGCTCTCCACAGAAAAAGTGTAGTCAGACAAAATAGGGCTGGAATGCAGCACCCTCAAAGAAAGATGAGTCAGTGCCCCATCCAGGAGGCAAAGGAAGACAGGGTGTCAAAGGCAGCTTTGAATCAATTATCACAGGCTCCACAGATTCATTACCAAGAGTGGCCTCAGTTCAATGACAATAGGTGGTGTCTAGCCAGCTGTCCTCTTAGAAAACATGGAGGGGTGAGGGTTTGGGTGGATTTTATGCACAGATGAGGTTGGGGCTGACTAGTTTGTGATACTTCCTGCCATTAGGCAGGGCTGCCCAGGGACCTTCCCTTTGCAGCACCCTGCTTGCCCTTTATCAGGATTTGTCACAGTTACTGCCTGTTGATTTGAGCACCATTTATGTTTTTTTTTGGGGGATGAAGATTTTTTTTTCGCTGGATGTATCACATAATGGTTAGGGTTTTATTCTATCTAAGTGTCAGGATAGATTTTTCCTGTTTGGTCCAGTCCCCCATTGGAGGGAATTAATAGATGACTAGGAATCAATGTTGAAACTCACTAAGCCACATTTGAACAACAAGGTGGATTTGGAAAGAGTGGTTCTCAGAGTCCCTCCACCAGAAAATCACTTTTAAATTCAATTTTGTCTGTTTAGTAAGCCTTGGGTATCTCATCTCCAAGCTCTCGTCTTTAGTATTGTATAAAGAGTTAGGCTTTTGCAGAAATTTTATGAGTAGAGGTGATCATTATTTCAAAATATTTAGGCTCTGAATTTATGTATTTTTATTTTCTATTTATTGACACTGGGGATTGAACCCAGGAGAGCTTTACCACTGAGCTACATCCTCAACTTTTTTTTAATTGTATTAATTAATTATTTAGTTAATTAAATTTTTAATGTATTCAGTTTGGGTGCCAAGGTTTGAACCCAGGGGAACTACACCACTGAGCTACATTTGGAGCCCATTTAAAAAAAATTATTTTTTTGAGAGAGGTTCTTACTAAATTACTGAGACAGGCGTTGAATTTGAGATTCTTCTGCCTTAACCTGCTAAATAGATGGTGTTATGTTAAGTTTGAATTTCAAATAAAAATAGAGCTTTACTTACTTGACTAGGGACTGTCACCCACCACAGAGTCTGAAGCTCTGTGATAGGACAGAAGCTTCCTTATACACCTAAAGAGATTATAAGCACAAAATCTACAACTTAGTGACTTGCTTATCCTCATGTAAGCAAGCCGATTATAAAAATTAAAACATTAATAAGTGGGGCCTCTGGGCTCTAGGCAGGATCAAAATTTTCCAGTCAGCAAGCCAGCACATTAGCTTTGCAGTTCAGTTGAGCACGGTCCTGGTTTCAAGCAGGTGCTAGACAATCACATCCTGAATTTGGGTGGAAGTTGTGGAGATGAGAATCTACTGCAAAGTC